TAACTCATTCCTCATTCACTTTCCCTTTTCCATGACCTGTTGCCTGCTAACCACTTGGGTGTGGGCCGGCTTATCTTGTTTTGCTGTTGGTCACCTAGATTCTGCTTTTGGTTAGAATACAGAGCCCACAGGAAGTACATGGAGGCCACACGGAAAAGCTGGTGGCGAGGACAACGTTGCCTGAGAGGCGGTCTCACTGTGTCGGTATCTGCTGTGTGGCATGGGCTTCCATTGACCAGGAAGCACAAGCTACATGAGGAGGCAGAATCACCTGAATTATTGATATCTTGCGTAGCTGCCAAGGCCCCTTGGAGCACAGATGGGAAGGAAATTGGGTGAAACATTTAAATGGTAACCCTAAATCAGGGTTTCTCAACTGCAGAGGGATGAACATTTGGGGGCCAGATAACTTCCCTGTAGTGAGGACTGTCCTGTGCCTTACCCAGGAGATGCTGGTAGCTCCTCCCTGCCCAGTTAGGCCAAGCAAAAATATCTTCAGACACAGCCAAATGTCTCCTGGGGGGATAAAATAATTTCAGTTGAGAACCACTGTTGTAGACAGAAAGATAGCAGTTTATTTACTGGGGTTTTTTGAGTTTATTTCTGTTTTTTCTTTCCTTTTCCTTAATCATTTTAGTTCTGGTTTCCCCTCGGTTCAGATAAGGTAATTCCAAATACTCTGACAGCAGAGAGCATCGTAACCCAAGGCCTTGTGGGATATTCCGGTGGTTCTCAGAGAAATGGGAGGCTAAGAAATTAAGAGTTTGGGATTAATTCTTTCTGACCCTGTTATTTCCTAATGAATTTTGGAGGAATTTTAATGTTTCCCGCTCTCTTTCTATTTCACTGTCTTTGATTTGACTTACAGCTTCCTAGCTCAGTTTTGAACGTGAAATGCTCACCCATCTTTGCCCTAAATCTGTCGCCCTAACCCAGAGCCCGGGCAATGGGCAAGCTCCAGCTGTCCCGGAAGCAGGCAGGGTTTGCCAATCCTGTCTTCAACCCAAGCCATTTGATGAAGCCGCCGAAATCTCTTCGCCGAAGCAAGTATCACTCTGGCTCCTGCCCACGTTTTCTGGATTCCGAGCTGCCTCTCCAGGGAGGGAGTCACCGCTTCCCACGGGAGGCAAGGTTTTCCTGCCTTGCGCCCAGAATAACACGTCAGCTGCTGGGAACACCTCGAGTCCTTTTAATTTCTCCCCCTCACCCCCTAGTCACGTTTTATGTTCAATTTCCCAGACGGGATGAACCAGAAATCATGCTTTGGGGGAAATAGATTTTTTTTTCCATAGGAAGGGACTAAAACACCCTGAGTTGTCAGCAGCCTCGTCCGTGCTCTGAACCCCCAGCCTCGTGCCATTTCAGCTGAATCAGACAACTTCCCAGTCACCTGCTAGGGGCGTTCACGCCTCCGGGCGTGTTTCTTTTTCTTTTCTTTTTTTTCAAACTGAATAATAGCAAAGCGTGAGCCGCAGCTAAAAGAACAGAGCCATGAAAAGCGGGCCCCCTTTCTAGGCCTGGCTTCTTGTTCCAGGAGTAGTGAGCAAAGAGACCAACGGATCGCACGGATGGAAGTCGAAGGACAGACGGTTGGCTTGAGACGAAAAATGAACGTTCTTGCTCCGTGATTTGTGCCAGCTTTGTCCGCGGACAGCTGCCACCCCCGGGAAACACCACTATAGGTTAGCCGTGCTCTCGGGCGTGTGTCGCCACGGGCCGCAGGGCGGCACGGGGACGCTGGTCTCGCCCCCGCTCACACCACGGAGCTCTTATCCTTAAACGAACTTTGTTTTTTTGACCAGCTCCCTAATTGTGATTGAAAACACCAGCTCCCCAGCAAGGCAGGCCCTAATTGCTCCATTTACATAAAAGTAGAAACATACAACTTCTAAATATAAATCTCTGGCACATCGTGCCTTTTGCAATTACAGTAAAAGAAGGTACCACAGTTTCCCTCCCGGCTCCTTGCTCGCAGCAAGCTGCTCCACCGGGTTCTCCAGGGGCCGCTCCTCCAGGCGAGAAGAGAGCCCTGCAAAGGCTCCCGGGGAGCTGGGGGAAGTGGCCAGTAAATCAGGCCGCCCGCACTGGGTGAAAAGCGCGGTGGCAGCCGGCCACGGTGCTAGCGCAGTGGCGGGTAGGACCCAGCT